ACACACACACACTTAGATCAAAATGGATAATGTGGGTAAATCTAAGTGAGTACTGACTTGAGTACTTTCTTTAGGAATAGTGCCTTTATTTCAGTGGATTCGTCCAATTAATCTTAGTATTAAAAGATGACACTCAAGGGCAGTTCTTTCTTTTTTCTTTTTCTCCAGTATAAGTAGATTTCTATGAGAGGGTAGGTGGACAGAAAAATCACTGCCAATGAAAGAATTGTACATTTCCAGCCATGATGTTTAATATATGCAAGGGGCCCATTACTCCTAACTAAATTAGATATCCTTCTTCTTCGCCTCATTTGGTAAAAACATGAAAGGGCAGAATAATCCATCCAAAGTTAGAGCATCCAATGACTCTATTATAAACTCCTGAAAAGGATAGCTGAACAATGTGAAGAACATCGAATTTAAAACTGACAATTTGAATTCAAGTATCTTTTTTTTTTTCAGGCTTTTTGTTAGTTTTATTTCTGGACTGAGATATAAAACAAAGTTTGCAGAGACCGTAAGAGTGTTTCCAAGTGATTTATCTAGTGTAGCTTCATTTAGAACACATTGGTCAAAATGAATGTTAACAAAGTGGCAATAGTTGGGGAAATTGCAAGAAAAATAGGACTGAAGATAAATTGGAATAATTTTATTGCTATGAGGGAGTAAGGATGTTCATAATCAAACAAGTACAAAGAAAAAACGAAAAAGAAAAGACACACACACACACACACACACACACACCACAGAGAATAGATGTGCTTCCACTGAAGTGGGCTTCCTAACACCTCTTCTCCAACACAGTGCAGCAGTACCCCTTATCTGATGTTTCACTTTCATAGCCTGTTACCCACAGTCAACTGCAGACTGAAAATAGATGAATATATTACAATAAGATGTTCTGAAAGAGAGAGAGCCCATATTAATATAACTTTTATAATAGTATGCTGCTATAATTTTTCTACTTTATTATTTTTTTCTTAATTTCTTATTGTGCCTAATTTGTAAATTAAACTGAATTGTAGCTTTGTATGTATAGGAAAAAGCATAGTACATATATAGTACATTTAGGATTCAATACTGCCCACAGTTTCAAAGGGTGTTGAGATGTATCCCCTGCAGATGGGGGTTGGGTGCTGCTATAAGAAGAAACACTGTGAAATCCCTCTAGCAGGCCAAACATAGCAAGTCCTGAGAAAAACATCATGTTTTAAGAATAAAAATACATGGTAACTTATCTGAATTCATAATATCAAAAAGTCACTCTGCCATTTAAGAAGCATTTTAAAAAATATCTCCTACAACATGTCATTTAGAAAGAAGAAACTAGTTTGGGCCACTGCTTAGAAGAGAAGACCTAGTTCAGTGAGTATAATGGAACGGACAAGACTCTCTAAGGACATGTCCACACCCCACCCCATTCTCCTTTCTACTAAATACGTGGCATAGTAAGGTGCAAAAGTCACATAGGATGGAAAAGGATTCCGACATGTCCAGACATGGTTCACAGATCCACTCAGATCGATTGAACAGCAAAGAGAGTCCTTCCAGTGGCTCTCCTCTGGCTCATTCACTAACTGGTTTGTGTACTTCCATGTCTGGCTTGTAGCATGGCTCTGATCATTCATTTAGTTTTTCAGAGGCACTGGTCATACCACATCACTGCATTGGAACAGAACAGAGTGAAAAGCTTGGTGGCCTGAATCACATCAGCCTTATAACTTTTTTTTTTTTAATTTTGCTATAAGGTGTGTGCACTTGTCAAGGTTGGGTCGGGGGGAGGGGCTGGAGAGAGAAAGAGACAGAAAATGAGAAAGCAGCCCCCCACTCACCTTGGGCAGATGACCATACCAAAATCCCAGGATTCTGGAAAGGTGTGTGCACACACATCCAGTGTGTTTTCTTGTCTTTCTTTTTTTTTTTTTCTTTCCCTTTGGAAATTCTTCATAATTAAGACTCTTATTAGAAAAAGTATTCTCTTTCTGGAGGTCACAAAGCCATATTTCAAGTCATGATCTTCATCGTTTTTTTCTTACGTTTTACATTTAATCATTGTATGTCTTTATAACATTGAAAATGAATTTTTCCAGCATGAATACCCTGCACGTTAGTCCCGTCTCTGCTGGTGTGGGTGGGACTACACAGTCAGCTATGTGGGACCCCACGGCCTTCACCACTGCAGCACCGCCAGTTAGCCCCGTCACCCCTTTTCTGATCACACTATCCCTTCACATTAAAGCCTGCAGGAATAAGCCGGAAGCAATTGAAACGTCCAAACCTTTTGTCTCGTCTCTTTCATACGCTTAGGAAATCGCCAAACTCTCTTTTTTATGCTGCTTGCTGTGATTCAAGGGGTGAGTAATTGCGAACTGAGTGCTGGATATCTTTAGATCAAGTTTTGCTGGATAAATTGAGAAAAATTCGACATCATTCTTCCTGCAAAATGCCCATTGAAGTAGCTTTTATAGATAAATATTAACTTTCCTTTTCATGAGGTAAAACCTTAACCTAATTTTGTTTCACAAACACGACATTCTAGGGGAGGAAATGATTTTTTTTTTAACAGCGAAATAAAAATACATTGTGCTAATACCTAGTGCTAAGATAAGCCCGAAGGAAAGGTTAGAAGTATGATGAGTCAGAAAACTGACAGTAAAGGACCCGGTTATTTAACATAAAACACTCTGTTAAAGATAAGACATGAAACATAAGGTTTGCTGGGTAGGAAAGTGACTAATGCAGACTAGCATCCGTTCGAATCATGCAGGTATCTGACAGAAGTTATTTTTCTACTTTGTAGAGCAATGTCTGCTTATAAACAGCATCAAACATTCTAAACCTTCTTGAGCAACCAGGTCAGTTATTCTAAAAGTTTAAAGTCACTGTTTTAATTATGGTCTTTGTCTGGTTTTGCACTTTGGAGGAACCTCTTTAAAACTATATTTTTATATTTGTCCCACTTAGAGTCCTCTCTGAACTCAAATTGGTTTATCTTCTCAAGTTAAATAGCGTCCTCGACCTTTCCCATTTAAAAGTCTTCTGAAAAAGTAAAACTTCTAGCAGCTAGACGTGGCACAGCAGTAAGACACAACCTTCCTGTGGGCAATCCCACATGGAAAGGTTACCAGTTCGGATCTAGAGGCCTCCCTGAATACAGCTGTGATTCACGACTGGATGAAGGCTGGAGCAGATTGTACCCAGTGCTTGGGCTCCTGTTGGGGTGCTGTCTCTCTCTCAGAAGAAAAAAATAAATAAACTTTGAAAAAAGTAAAACATCTAAAGCTAGTCAAAAATCTTTCAAATTTGATAAGGAATTCTGTGTGGTAGCAACATAATTTCTGCCAGTTTTGAACACTCGATCAAATTTTAGGGTTCAAGAAACAATTCCAGCTTGGTCCTGGGGAGGTTCATGAAATCCTGCTTTATAATTTCAGCTTCCTGGTGTTAACTGGAACCAAAAAATTCTTCTAGAACACTGAATTAAGACCCTAATAAACATTTATAATACTAATTCTTCTAATCAACAGCCATTTTAGGCTTAGCAAGTCAGACTTTTTTTAAAGAGAAGTTTTACCTATAGGGCACGTGCACTCATCTGAGAGACAGAAAGCAAGAAATCACCCTCCAGGGGGATTGGCCATGCCACAAACTCTTCTCTTCCATTCTCCTCTCACGAATTTGAGCCCAAAGGCACAGGCGTCCACTTTGAGTTTTAAGTCACTGGGTCCAGGACTCGAACTACAGTTGGCCATGTGGGAGTCAAGGACATAACCATTACTATCTGCTGGTCCCAGCCAGTCAGACTTTAACCTCACATGACTGAAAAACAGTAAACACAAACTAAAGTTTGAAAAGTGTGTATTGGGGGGGACCAGCAGATGGTATAATGGTTATGTCTCTGAATTCCCACATAATCGACCACAGTTCAGGTGTGGACCTGGTGGCTTAAACTAACACCAGGCATGTGCGCATGTGTGCCTAAAATCCCAAGAAGAGAACAGAGAAAGAATAGTGCCATGGCCAACCCCCGGAAGATGATTCTCACTTTTCCTCTCACAGTCTCTGTCTCTGTCTCTCTCTTTCTCTCTCTCATGAGCACACATGGCCTATGGCAAAAACTTCTAAAAAAAAAAAAGAAAGAAAGAAAGAAAGAAAGAAAGAAAGAAAGAAAGAAAGAAAGAAAGAAAGAAAGAAAGAAAGAAAGAAAGAAAGAAAGAAAGAAAGAAAAGCCAGTGGTCCTATATTTCGTTTCAGATGTATTCTGGTTTACCTACTTCACACTGATGTCTTTTACTGATACCGCCGTTGCTCCTTCTTCATCTGGTAGATACACCAAAATGAAGACTGCCACCAACATCTACATTTTCAACCTTGCCCTGGCAGACGCTTTAGCAACAAGTACCCTGCCCTTCCAGAGTGTCAATTACCTAATGGGAACGTGGCCGTTTGGAACCATCCTTTGCAAGATCGTGATCTCCATCGATTACTATAATATGTTCACCAGTATATTCACCCTCTGCACCATGAGCGTTGATCGCTACATCGCAGTCTGCCACCCGGTCAAGGCCCTGGATTTCCGTACTCCTCGAAATGCCAAAATTGTCAATGTCTGCAACTGGATCATCTCTTCGGCCATTGGTCTGCCTGTGATGTTTATGGCAACAACAAAATACAGGCATGGTGAGTGGTGGTGCTGTCCTGTGGGGTGGGGCTTTGTAGCCCAATGTCATGAGCCACGGAGAGTTTGTGAAGAGGTCCAATGTCTTAATCAAACTGTAATTTTAATTATTCTTTCTAGCAAAATGTCTTTGAATATTTTGGACATTTTTCCCATAATTTTAAGCCCACTGACTCTTTTAAAGAAAAGATCATATATTTGTTACTGATTCCTCTATATTTATTTCATTAAAATGGTGTGTAGGGACCAGTAAATGGCATAATGGTTATATCACTGGACTCCCAAGGAGTCAACCACAATTTGAGTCCCAGACCCAGAGGCTTAAAACTGACACTGGGCATGTGTATGTGCATGCCCAAACTCCAGAGAAAAGAATGGAGGAGAAGGGTTTATGGTGTGGCCATCCCTTCTGAGGGGTGATTTCTCTCTTTCTGTCTCTCCATCTCTGTCTCTCTAGTGAGTGCATGAGTCCTATAGCAAAAAAAAAAATCATTAAAAAATGGTGTGTAAATAAGAACAGTTCTCCCAAGAGTAATCAAACCTTAAAACTAAAGAGTATTATGTTGAGGCTTGTTTTAAAACTTTGAGAAGCTCAGGCCAGATGGTGGCATGGTGGTTAAGATGACTGGGTTCTGGACAGCCAAAGGTGTAGTTCAAATCCTAGACCTCGTGACTTGAAAAACATTCCAGCTCTATGTATACATATGCCCAATATTTTGAGAAGAAGAGAAGGAATTGCAGTGTGTCCATACCCCTAGGAGTGCTTTCTCACTTTCCCTTTCTCTCTAGTAAGCATGCACACTCCATAGAAAATATTTACAAATTTTTTTAAAACCTCAAATGGCTGCCTATGTGGCAAATGTATCTTTTTAGGCCTACTGTCAGAATAATTATCTACCCATCAAAAACTGGAGTGAAAATGTCCATTCATTGGAACCTGTAAGAGACTTTGAGCAATGATTATATTTTAACATCAACACAGACCCTATAGAGGGTCTAGCTCATGATGAGAGACCCACAATTGTCCATGGAATGAAATGGGGGATTTAGGAAAAAAATGTTAAATAACTTCCCTTGAAAACAACAGACAGCTGAGTTTTTTCCACACTTTCTCTAAATCTTTCCTTAATAGCTTCTATGATAGCAGCTTAAGGTAGCTCTGGTCAAGGCTATTAACTAATAAGCAGATGGAAATATTAGTGCCTGGTGCCATAACTACATGTGGTTGCTAATTTTTACCTAAAATTTCCTTCTTCTAGGCTCCATAGATTGCACACTAACCTTCTCTCACCCAGCATGGTACTGGGAAAACTTGCTGAAGATCTGCGTGTTCATCTTTGCCTTTGTCATGCCCGTCCTCATCATCACTGTGTGCTATGGACTGATGATCTTGCGCCTCAAGAGTGTCCGCATGCTCTCTGGCTCCAAAGAAAAGGACAGAAATCTGCGAAGAATCACCAGGATGGTGCTCGTGGTTGTGGCTGTGTTCATCGTCTGCTGGACTCCCATTCACATCTACGTCATCATTAAAGCCTTGATCACAATCCCAGAAACTACTTTCCAGACTGTGTCTTGGCACTTCTGCATTGCTTTAGGCTACACAAACAGCTGCCTGAACCCAGTCCTTTATGCATTTCTGGATGAAAACTTCAAACGATGCTTCAGAGAGTTCTGCATCCCAACTTCCTCCACCATTGAGCAACAAAACTCCACTCGAATTCGTCAGAACACCAGAGACCACCCCTCCACAGCCAATACAGTGGATAGGACTAACCATCAGGTATGTAGTTCTAGAACTAATATGCTGACTGCAGATGATATAAAAGTAACAGAACTTTGTACTGATCCAAGGTTTTAATCCAGTAGAAGGAGATCAATAAGTAGGACATTGAGGTTTAGCATGAAAATGGAGGGAATGGGGAAGCAAATTGTGATCACAGTGTCAGAGAAGAGCTTTTGTATGTAAACTATCTCTATATATTTGATTATATATATTCCCTTAGGTATAAAGATTTGCCAACTAGAAATCCATAAAGCTACTAAAAATCACTGTCTTCAGAACCTTCCCTTCTGTGCAAAATTAAGGACTTTAGCATATTGTGGAAGTTATCTTTATTTACAGTCCTTCTTATTTCTCCCATAAATGTTACAGGTATTTCATAAATATCACCCCAATTTCCCCAGCACTTCTCAAAGCCAGGCCTGCTCTGGTTCTCTGGCTATAGAGGTAGGGTGAGTGACTTATTTACTGCGGTCAAAGATACAAGATATTTTCAGCAAATCAGTTTGAGGGCAAAGGATAAAAAATAAAAAGATGGCCAGCCTTATTTTTAGCCATTGGTTCATAAATTTTGCTTTCTGAACTGTAGAGCAAGTATCAAATAGATAACCTAATTATTTGAATTCAATTAATTGTATAACCTTAATCATACCAGTTGGGGATAATATCATGAAGAGTGTCTATATTTTGGAAGATAGATTCCTGTGCACACAAGAGTACAGAAGTGATCCTACAGAGAGGATTCAAGATTTACACACAATATTATAATCACAGGAGAAAACGCTGAGGAAGAAAGAGAAAAATGCGTCTCCAAGTTAATGTTACCTTGTGAAGCCACTGGCTTGAAAACTTGACTTCTGACCTTGAAAGTCAATCAAACATACAACTTGATTATCAGTATTAAATAAGTAAATGAACAAATAATGATGCCGTCATCTGAAAACCACAGACTGTATAGTTTTGTAACACAGAACTCAAATTCAAACTTCCTGTGAAGTAAATGCTTGTATCAGAACCTAGGATAGAAGTTTCTAGAGCCCAGAGACAGGATTGCAGGTACAGATTACTACTTAAAAATGAATAGGAAAGGGCTAGCAGATGGCATAGTAGTTAAGGCACTGGACTCCCACATGGCTGACAGCAGTTCAGGTCCTGCACTTGGCGAATTGAAACTCACTTCAGATGTGTGTGCCCAAAAGCCCAAGAGGAGAATGGAGAAGAAGGGATTGTGGTGTAGCCATTCACCCTGGCAGGGGGCAAGGGGGTGACTTCTCACTTTCTGTATTTCTGTCTCTCTGGTGAGTGCATGCACCCTATAGCAAAAATCTCTCTCTCTAAAACAAAAAATAGGAAGGGGCCAGCAGTTGGTGCAGTGGTTAAAGCACTGGACTCCCACTTGGCTGACCACAGATCAAGTCCCAGACCTGGTGTCTTGAAGCTCAATACTGGGCGTGTCTGCCCAAAATCCCTAGAGAAGAATGGAGGAGAAGTGATTGGCCACCCCCCAACCCCCACCCTCGAGTAGAGGGGATAATTTCTCACTTTCTCTCTCTCTCTCTTTCTCTGTTTATCCAGCAAGCACATGCTCCTATAGCAAAAATCTCTCTGTAAAAAAGGTAAAGAAAAATCAATGGGAAGTCAAGCCAATGAGGAGTCAGAGGGAAGGCTTGGTTACTGTGTGCAGGGCTTCCTTTTGCTGGCTCTTCAACACAGCCCTTGTCTCACTGTCCCCACCTATCCCCAGTGCCACCCAGCCCAGTTCAGGGTCACCCTCCCTAACTGGTCATAAGACTAATATAAAACAGCCCAGATGGATCTGCCATAGGGGACTTACTCCTCAGACCCCGGATATTAAATAATGCTGAAATGAACACAGGCACTCAGAGCTCGTCTCTTCCCCAGAGAGCATGAGGTAATGATGGCAGAACCACATCCAGCCAGAGGGAAATTATGAACTTATTATATCTCACTTCTAATCCATTTCAGAGATGAAAGCCATGAAGAAGTGGTTTTCCACTCTGCTTCTTTTCTTTAATTTTTTTTCCACATCAAGACTTCTAAACCTGCTCCTTTTACTAAGCAGCTCTCCTTGTCAGTAGCCATCAAACTGCTGTGAGTAACGTTAAAAAGGTAGAGATTTAAATAGCTTCTCTCCAACCCAGGGATAACATACTGCGGAATGCAATTTAAAACTCTCAGTCCAAAGCGAAGGTTAAACTATTTTGCTTTGGAGTAAAATGATGGCCATTATAAAGTATTGACTTTTTCTCCCTGAATGCCTACCTGTTCCTCTCCCACCCCTCCAGGCTCTCTAGGGCATGGCTGCTTGGTGCCATACCCTGGACGACTGCCAGGGCCCTCTCCTATCATCTGGCCATCTCAGCCACCCTTCACTCACCTGGCTCCTAGAAATAGAGCCCCCAGTCCGTGCAGTGCTCTCCTGCATGAAGCACGATTGTCCTTCAGTGACCCCCACACTGCCCTTGACTCCCTCTCAAAGCAAACGTTTTCACATTAGTGTGGCTCTTGCACAACCAGAGAGAGGAAAAAAGAAGCTAATTGGGGGAGTTCTGTTCCCAGCAACTAAAAGGTTTGCTGTAAAAATACATCCAATTAAGGCTTATCCTCATGGCTGCCCCTATGAAGCAGCATCAAATGACAGCAGAGACAATGAGCTCCACAACTGGCCATTTTCCCAAAGTGCCCATCTGGGAGCACTGGACAGAGAACAGAGACTGCCAGGAAAAGAGATAGGGCACTTGGACGTATGTGAAGATTAAGATAAATCAAAGATCCCTTCCACTCACTCCCACCGATGTGCCCTCAGGACGGCAGATGCATGTGGACAACTGAACAACATGTCAGCCTCTGGTGGTGGTTTCCCTTACATGTCAGAAATAAATAATTTGAAGGAGAAATCAGAAACTTTACAGCTGTGTCTGTAAGTCGTATTTGATTAGTCGTAAAAATCCAGAATTTGGAGGCTAGAAGATGGCATGGTGGTTACAGTGCTGGTTTCCACATAGCTGGTTTTGTGGTTTGAATCCCAGTTTCGGCAGCTGGAGGAATACGCCAGGCATGTATGCATATGTGCCTGCCCAAAATCCCAAGAGGAGAATGGAGGAGAATGGACTGCAGCCTGGCCACTGCAGCATGGCCATCCCCCCTGGGTGGGAGGTGATTTCTCACTTTTCTTCTCTCTCTCACTCTCTCTCTCTCTCTCTCTTTCTGACTCTCTCCAGTGAGTACATGTGCCCTAAAGCAAAAGCAAAACAAATAAGCAAACAAATAGAAATCCAAAATTTGATGGACGAGTGTGTGTTAATATCAGTGTTTTCATATCATAAGCAGTCATGAGAAGGACCACTGCCAATGATTTGCACTAACCTTCCAGTGCTTGCTTGAGGTTTGTACTGGTTGTAGATGTTTATGTTCTGCCCATGTATTTGTATTTCCTCCAAGAAATACATTATATACGTCACATTTCCAGCGCATTAGTCAACTTCCTATTCTGCAGATCAGAGATCGGATCTCAAACCTTCCCAGGGTGTCTGTATTCTAACAACTATACACGGAGGCCATGTCCACACAACTCAAAGCGAAGTGACAATGGGGTCGATATCAAGGTAATTTGATACACCATTGAGAAAACTGTGTCCATAATAAACTATGAGTCATATAGATAGTCCAGGGTTTCTTAGTTTGCTTTTGCTGCATACAAAGTTATTCCACAGTTAGCTGCTTAAAGCAACCATGTGTTTAGTTTATAATTCTATAGAATAGTAATTTCGGCGGGGCTGAGCTGACAGTCCCTCCGGTTTTAGCAAGGCTCTCTATGGTCACCCACCTGGGGAGCTGCTGATTAGCTGACCTAGGGCGGCCGCAGCAAGAATGGCCAGCACCACATGGGCCCTCAGCCATCAGCATGCCTCCTCAAGCAAGTGCTCTCCATAGCCACAGGTTCTGAATGACAGAGAAACGAGCGCAAAGCTCCTTGAGACCTAAGGTCAGAACTGGTACAAGTCATCCCTTGCTTTTTATAGGTTAAACAAAGCCATGCCAACTTAGATTCAGGGGGTGGGAAAACAGACTCCAGCTTACACTGATAGGAGCTGCAGCTTCATTGCAGAGGGATGTGGATAGAGAGAGGGACATCATTGTGGCTTCTTTTGCTAACTGCCTGCAGTAGGCATGTGCTACATGGCCCAGAAGCCACCACTTCCTGAGGGCAAGGATGTCTGTCTTGTCTTCCCTTGTGCCTCTACTATCTACATACCACAGTGTCTAGCTCATTAAAAAGTGCTCCAGAACTATCTGTTGATTAAATGAATAATGGGAGAGTTCATGATATCTCAGGGGATGTAGCATGTGGTGAGAATGACCCTTTCCTTGTGCCACCAAGAACAACTTAAATGACTGTGTAACACTCTCAATTATTTCAGGCTTACCCTTCAGTAACAGGGGAACGGTCACAGTAGGGCTCCTTCATTATACCCTCTCCAGCTTTAGTCCTCTGATCTAAAATCATAATTTTTGAAAACCTGGTTACATTTGTGCTTGTCTTCTCATTTTATTTTTAACAAGTGCTTTTGATGAGAAGACCAAGAGCTGAATTCAGTGTCCTTAAAGGAGTTTAAGGCTACGTGTTACAGTTTTAAAAATGAAAAAGTGCCATGTTCTTTCTTGCATTCCAGGGGTCAGCCTACTGCTATAGCATCCATGCCGGAGTTGTGTTCGGTTTGTTGTCTTTATGGTTTCTAGATCTCTATTAGGGAGACTCGTGGCATAGACGTTCATTTTCCATCTGTTCTTGGTGTAATTTGATTTGTCTGCTCACATTCCACCCTGCTGTTGTCTTACTAAACTCCACTTTGTCAGAGCACTTCCCATTTACTCAGCTCAATCTGGAGCCAACTCAGCTCTGAAATACTGGTCACCACTAGCCTGCTTCCCTCTCGGTTTCCACCTCCAACTCTATTCTTTCATGCCTTTTCTATTTT